GTCTTCAGTAAATTCTTTGAACTTTACACAAATATACCTAGATATACAGTCTACAATCTCAGCGATCGCTGGCGAAGGTATAAGATAAAAAAATATATATGTTATTTTATCAGAAGCTTCTATATACATACAAACATATAACTTCAATCGCAAACATGTCCAACTTCATTATACCCATTTCTGGGATCAATTACAGGGTATGCAATACCAAAAATATATATACATATGTACATATATATTCTGGGGCAATTTTCGCTTAAGCATTTCGATCTCACAGTCAGTACACATTAGCACCTCGTCGAGCACGGAACGCGAATAACGGTAGACGGGCTAGAAAAACTCAGCGGCAAGTGGAAAGCAACGGGATCGAGATAGAGAGATCGGCGCAGAGGCGGAGGCGTTATAATTTGCACGTACTGCAGACTGCGTGTGTGTCGGTTTGAAAAACAATTCAATATTTTGGAGATTTCCAAATAAACAAACCACACACAGCAGAGAGACAGCGAGAAAGAGAGAGAGAGAGAGAGAGACAGAAAGACGAGCCACGCCACTTGGCAGGCCAAAAGAAGCTGCCTCTAGTCTGCTGTCGGCAAGCAGATCAAAAGATTAATTGGAAAATTGCATGAATGAATTGTCGAACGGCTGATGTTAATGCTGTAGCCAGATTGCTTATGGTCAACCAATTAGTTTATTTTGTAGGCCAGCAAAGTGTAAACACATCAACAGAATGGAGAATGTGCGCTTCTCCATCATCGTAAGTGCCCCCGCCCCCGTCCCCAACCAGYCCACCCACCCAACCATTCTCGGCCAGTCTCTCTCGGTATGCAACGTTTGGTTTATTTGTTTTGGCAGGAAAACGATCTGAAATGGCAATCGGAGAGTGACGCGGCCGAGATGCAGATGCTCTTTGATAAGCGCAGCATTTCGAGCGAGGCCAACAGCGACGCCGTCTTCAGCAACGAGGCGCACGAGATTTTCACACGTCAGCAGCAGAGCCAGGTGCTGTGGCAGACCCAAGAGGTCGAGGAGACGCTCTGCGCGGTACCCAATGGTCGGCAGATCTTGGACCTGGTCAAATCGGGCTGTTTTCTAGGTGCGCAGCCACTGAAGATCGCTGGACAATAATTGAATTAACTGTTCTTGCTTTGCAGAGCTAATGATCGAGCCGAACGACTGCAACCTGGCGCTCATCTGCTGTGCTCTCTACGGCTCCGTTGAGAACATTATTTACCTGCTCACCCACTACGATGCCGATCCAAATACCTCCGATAGCCGCGGCCGCACTCCCCTGCACTTTGCCTGCTGTCGCGCCAATGCGCCCATAGCCAAAGTATTGCTCGATCGAGGCGCCGATCCGAATCGCTGGGAGAACAAGAAGGAGGTGACGCCGCTGCACTGCGCTGCCAGGTGAAGATAGACTTGCATTTATTTATTATTATAATTATTTATTATTTATATATAAATTCAGTTCGAAGAGCGTTGAGTGCCTGCTGCTGTTGCTCCGGCGTAAGGCGAACATCAATATTGGCATCAACAGACGATCGGCTCTGCATTATGCCATTGACGGGGATGCGGTCGATTGTGTGGAGATTCTGTTGAAGTATGGCGCCGATCCGAATACACCGCAGGTGTACACAGAGACGCCGCTGCATACGGCCTGCGCCTCCGGATTCACCAAGTGCGTGCAGCTGCTGCTGAATCACAATGCCGATGTGCGTTCCCAATTCGGGGAAGGCAAAGTGACGGCATTACATTTGGGTGAGCTTCGCCTCCATAACGCGTTCAATTTGAAGACTACAATGTTTTTTGCAAGCGGCCGAGAACGACTATGCGGAATGTGTGCGTCTGCTTCTGGAGCATGGGGCCGATGTCAACTGTCGCAATGCCAGCCAGCAGACGCCACTGCATCTGGCCTGCCTCTCGCAGTCGATCAGCAGCGTTGAGATTCTGCTGAAATATGGCGCCAATGTGAATGCCGTTTATCGGGACGGACGGACCGCWCTGCATGCGGCCATCGTGAAGCAGTCACGGTGCCTGGACTGCTGCAATGCGCTGCTGAAGGCCGGCGCCGATGTCAACAAAGCGGACGATTATGGCTATACGCCGCTGCACCTGGCCGCACTGAACGAGTTCAGCAGCTGCGTCTACATCTTCATAGGCGAGTGAAGCGGGCTGTGGGAGACGGCTCGCAGCTCTACTAACTTGTGTGATATGTATAATTGCAGAGCATGGCGCAGATCTAACGGCCCGCACGGGCGGACATACCTCGGCGCTGACGTTCATTGTGCGTCGCTGTCCGGAGATTATACCAAAGCTGATGCACAAGCTGGACAACTCGATCAAGGTGAACGATCATGAGATTGGCGACGTGGACTGCCAGATCAAGTTGGACTTTCAACTGCTGGTGCCCAGCTCATCGACAGAGAAGGGCGAGGCGGAGCTGATGCTCAGCCTCATCGAAGTGGGCCAGAAGCGCATTCTAATGCATCCGCTCTGCGAAACGTTTCTGTTCCTCAAGTGGCGTCGCATTCGCAAATTCTTTCTGATGAGCCTCGCCTATCACACCTGCTTCGTGCTGCTCTTCACGCTCTACGTGATCGGCGTCTATGTGCGCAGCTGCAAGGAGGGCGAGACCTGCCAGGCACCCGGCTATGTGTCCACCGTTGGCTACTTTGTGATCGTCCTGAATGTCATGCTGCTCGGCAAGGAGGTCTTTCAGATGGCCCACGGCCTGCACGGCTATGCCAAGTACTGGGAGAACTGGCTACAATGGACCATTGTCTTTGGTGTACTCCTATGCGTGGTATGTTCTACTGAAATTTAAATTACATTCTCTTTGCTGTCAAGTTGTTCACGAAATCAGTGAAGAAAATATCATCAAGCTTAGATATTTATAAATTAAACTTGATGATTGATATTTGCCATCTGCTCGCATGCAGTCAGGGAAATATTCGAAGTATTTTATGATCAATTCAAGAGATATTTAGGGGTCATAACAAAACTGTGATTCGAATTTGTATATAAATATTATTTGTGCTCATTTTAAAAATATTTGCAGACGCATAAAATCATAAATATAATTATATAATTTATATA